AAAGTAGCTTTCCTGGGAAGATGCAGCTAAGCCTCTGTACATTTCCTTACTACTTTTGCACATGCTCGCGTAGAAACCAGCTGGTTGTACTGAAACTTGGATTAATTTGAAGTGTGAGAAATGGAGCTTAACACAAATGCAGGTATGACTGCAGTTACTTCTTAACCGGGTGTGTGCGGAGGTGTAGAAAGGTGGTTGTAAACCAGAGAAGGTATTAAGTGAATCCTGAGGACATGGGGAAAAACCTGTATCCATACTGAAGAAGTCAATCCTTAAAGTAAGGTATCATGAGAAATGGATAAAAGAGGGAAAATTATATGGGGCCATACTGAAAATATTCCAAGTTGCCAACCCTAATTAGTGTTTGTGAAATCCCTGACTGTTGCCATAGCAATAAATGTGATACTACAAATGCAGCATTCTGACTTCTTCACAGGATCAAGCGAAGTTGGAAAGGAGCAAATCCCTGTGTAAACATCAATATCGTCAATTAATTAGGAAACACAGCAAGATAAATAATAAGACCCCATGAAGGTAAATTAATTTCTGTTTTCTATCTGCTACGTTTGAAATTTCCCCCAGTATCAAGCGATCTCAGTAATTCACTTTCACTCCACAGTAGTGCTTAATCACAGACCACAGTGGAAGTTATTGTGGAGAGAGTTTTTTAATGCACTACTTAGCAGGTTAAAGAACTTGGGTTATTTGAGATATTTCAACTACTTAAATACATGTCTGTCTTTAAATGTCACTTTGCTTATTTATTTATTTATTTATTTATGTATTTGAGATAAAATTTTACCATGAGCCAGCTTGTGCCCAGGCAGCCAAGGCGGCCAACAGCATCCTGGCCTGTATCGGAAATAGTTTGGCCAGCAGGGCCAGGGCAGTGATCATCCCTTTGTACTGGGCACTGGTGAGGCTGCACCTCAAATACTGTGTTCAGTGCTGGGCCCTTCGCTACAAGAAAGACATTGAGGTGCTGGAGCATGTTGAACAAAGAGCAACAAAGCTGGAGAAGGGTCTGGAGCACAAGTCTGATGAGGAACGGCTGAGGGAACTGGGCTTGTTTACTCTGGAGAAAAGGAGGGTCAGGGGGGACCTTGTTGCTCTCTGCAACTACCTGAAAAGAGGTTGTAGTGAAGCGGGTGTTGGTCTCTTCTGCCAAGTAACAAGTGATAGGATGAGAGGAAATGACTTCAAGCTGCGCCAGGGGAGGTTTAGGTTGGGTATGAGGAAAAACTTCACCGAAAGGGTTGTCAACCACTGGAACAGGCTGCCCAGGGAAGCAGTTAAGTCACCATGCATTTAAGACGCATAGATGTGGCATTTAGGGACATGGTTTAGTGGTGGACTTGGCAGTGCTATGTTAACAGCTAGAGCTGATGATCTTACAGGTCTTTTCCAACACATGATCCATGATTCTATGAAAATATTAAACAATAGGGGAAAATGGCATTTTTTTTCGTGTGGTCTTCTCTCTCGTATGACTTCAGAATACTGTACTGGACAGTAAGTAGTTCCATTATACATACATATGTATCTTGCCACATACCTATTTACAGCTGGAATCCCCCCCTTCTCTTTAAAGAAAGTCCCTGTTTTCATTTCAGGTCAGAATCACAGAATCATAGTATAGTTAGGGTTGGAAAGGACAGGACCCTAAGATCATCTAGTTCCAACTCCCTGCCGTGACCAAGGACACCTCACACGAGACCGTGTTGCCCAAGGTTCTGTCCAACCTGGCCTTGAACACTGCCAGGGATGGAGCATTTACCATCTTGGTCTCACGCAACTTTCACAGCCATGTCACAACTTCATGTATTCAAACTTCTTCTGTAACCAAATGCAGCCAAAACATTCCATATTATGGATATAAAAGTAAAGGCATCTAATGTTTAAAAAGAAAGCAGACAAAAAATTGCTAAAAGTGTTTCCATACGGTAAACAAGTTTCTTTTTCTTTTATTTGACAAATCGCTGTATTGGTAATTCTCACAAACACGAGTCTGGAATACAGTTCTCAAATATGTCACCTGCTGCTAAGATTTTGATTAACTGACTCTCCATTTATTCAATTACTGCATCAATAGTTTGTAATTTTTAAAAGTTAATCCTTTTCATCCATTAGTAATTATTGTTTAATCCATATCTCACAGTATTCCTAATGGTCACTTTCATTCATTTCATAAAGAACAGCTAAATATCTCTTCTGTAAATCCTGTATTGCAGCACAGTTCCGAACATATGACTGACCAGGATTTTGAATAGTCTCGTGGATGATTTATGTATACAGAGTAAACAGGATCAGTTTGAATGCATGGGTTAGTTTGACATGTTCAAGGCTTTTATTGTTATTTCATAAAATTTTATACAGTGGCAGCATAAATTGCCCAGGGAATGAAAAGGAAAATGAAATAAGAGCATTCACTGGACACTAGCTTAGTAAACAAAAAATTGTACCCCTAACTCTGTGACTGAAATGCTGTACACCCTTGGGCATGGCACTCTGCTCCTTTTTTCCCCCGTGTTGCTCCTCTTTCTTTTTATTTTGTCTATTTGGACTGGAGCTTCTCCTGGGTGGGTGGGTACTGGAGGAGCTAGTTAGGGTAGCTAGCAAAATGGGGTCCTGATCTCTGTTGTGGCCTCTAGGTGTTGCTATAATACAAATAATTAATCAAAAGACATGTTTCGTAGTGTCCATAGAGGGAGTTGCCAATTTTTGACAAAGCCATGCTTAATTTTATACAATTAAACCTCTCTCTCTCTCCCCCTTCTCTCTGCAACGCAACTGAAATGTTAGCTTTGTGTATTGGACAAATGAACCTGAATGTGAAAAGTAAGGAAGATGTAGAAAAATATTTCACTCACCTCTAGTTAAATTTGCTCATTTCAGGATGTCTTGGTGCCAGTATCCCATCCAAGGATGGTCCTACTAGAAGAACACACTATCATACTCCTAACTCAGCCCAGCCTCCCACTGTCAGAGTCCATCATCAGATATCACACCACTTTGCGAGGACTCTGCCACTGATGTGGTTTAGGAGTATAAGTACATAAGGCACACATAAGGACACAAGAGCAGGTGATCTAGATCAGGACACAGTCCTGTTCTCATGTCTAAGGACACAACTTTTGGCCCCTGAAGTAATTGCAAGTTAAGATACTTGTGAGTTTAGTGAGGATAAGCTTTGTCTTGTAGGGTGAAGATTCAGAACCTGGTGTGGGTTGATCACAAGATCTGCATGTTTTGCCTAACAGGGGACTATTATGCAGAACTCATTGCCATGATCTTTAACAATTTCAAGATTCGTAGTTTACTTTAAAAAATAAGGCATGAAAAAAAAGAGCAACAAATAATTTGGAAGGGTTTGAGCAGCCTTTTGTTTCGTCACATTTCCAAAGAAGGAGCTGCCGATCCTGCAGCCCACCACAGCACATCATTTGATGTAATCTCCAGCGGAGCAGCTCCCGCCGAACAGCTCTCGCAGAGGTATGTAATAGCCATCAGTACTTGTGGCCATACTCAGAATAGTGGCAGATGCCTCTCAAAACTGCATTTGTTGAAAAAGCATTTGTAGCCAAACAGTTTTGTCTGGCAGGGGATAAGCGATCCCTCCTGCAAAGCAAAGGCACAGTAAGGAAAGCAATTGGATGCACATTTAAAGAGAATGCTGCAGGTGCCTGCTGGAGTGATGTCTTACCAGCATTTACTGACACAAAGGGGCAAAAGATGGGATCAGAGCTTTGTCCTCTTTCTAGCCAGACATCAGTGCTATGGGACCATGAGCCCTATAGCCATCCCCTCCCTCCCTTATCATCTGTGAGTTAATTACAATCCCTTCCTAGCATGGAGTGAAAGCACAGTGAGGGGCAGGTAGTCCCCCTGCTCTGGTCCTCTGGTCCATATGTAGCTCAGCCTCTGGGGTGACCATGGTCCAGCTCTCAGTATCTAACAGAGATTGCATAACCAGATACTGCAGGGTCTTATTGTATTTGTATAAAAGCTGCTTTAATCAAAAGACTAGCCATTAAATTGCCAGTGTTCTTAAGCATGCTTCACCAATTTTTCACTTTCAAGACTCAAGTAGACAATTTTTTTTAATGTTTTATAAATGATAAAAAATTCACATCAGATTTTAACAGAATTAAGCATACTTATTCAACACACATGGGGCCTCTGAAAAAATGTTATTCAATTTAATAATTTTAATTTACATTGTATATGTACAAGAGCATTTCTTTCAACCCACAGGTTAACACCACAAAAAAAAAAAAAAAAAGAAAAAAAGAAGAAAAGAAAGAAAAAAGGAAAAGGAAAAAAGTACTGCGGTCAGCGGAGTGAAGAAACTCTTGAAACACTGTTGTCTGAAATAAAAGCAAGGCACTCTCCCTTAACACCTGATATATTCCTGAATTCTGCCTAGACAAAGGCATGTTCACACTGAGAGAGCTCTAAGAAAAGAAGTAGATTTATTCTGCATTAACTCTTTCCTTTACCACTGTGACCTGTCGCTGGTTATACTCTAGGATGAATCTGTGTATTGAAGAAGTGGACATGAAGAACAATTCCACGGGTGACATGACTTGGGAGAGTATCACAGTTAAGACTAGTTATGGAAGACTGGAGGACACCGGCTACGTGAAATCTCACATGGGGCTCTGGACCTGCTACCTCCCACTCACATCCCACTTAATAAATAAACCTTGCTCAACAAAATAAGCAATTTTACTGTACTATGCTGATTTGCCTGAAAATTCTTTGAGAAAGGGCCCACTTGCAAGTAGCGCCTGCGAGCCCTCATCTGGCTGGTGCTCAGCACCTGGCAGGATTTGTCCCTAGATAAAAGTCATTTCTCAAGGGACCTTGTGTCTTACACAAGGAGACAAAAGTAAACATACTTCTGGATTTTGTGTCGGTATGTTTTTGTATGCGCACATGTGTGTGAGTGTGTGTATATATATGTATATATATATATATTTAGTATATACAAAAGCAAATTCAGTCAAAATATATTTGTCTTGCTGGTCAGGCTTGTTACAGCAACCTACAAGAAACATTAGCTTCTCTGATATTTAATTATGCTATTATGTTTGCACATAAGCTTAAAAGTCAATACAAAAAGCAATACTTTTCCAAATATTATCTGCAGGTAAACCGGAAATATTAACTATAGTGATTAGAAGTCTGTTTCCCTATCGACACTACTATAAATCTTGATATAAGAATAATTTTTTTCATAAAAGCACATCCAAACATAGTAAGTGATAAAATACCAGATTACTATTTGAAAACCATACAGTGACTCGATATCTGGGTTATCCTTTGCAGCAATTAGGCAATTCATTTGGCATCTGTTTGATTGTATAATTTAATTTCCATATAAACAGCATAGTTTAAAAAAAGACAAAAGCTAGAATGTTTAAAGCTAACAAAAGATACAGTGACATCAGGTTGACATTCAAAAATTTCCTTAGCAAAATGACCAACAAAATTTCGACTTAATACAGTGCATATAAAGGTTTTTAGAACTAAACTTTTTAAATAGTATTTGAATTTAGCAAAACATGAGCAAGATTTTAATATCAAAGTGCTAAACAGTACTGCCTTAGAAGTCACTGCAAATAAACTGTAAAATAACTCTGCTTGTGATTGGACAGATATTTTATATACAAATGGTTAATAAAAAGACACGCGCACACACACACACGCACACAAATATAGGTATATACATATATATATATACACATTATATATATGTATATAGTTGTCCAACTGGTGTATCTGAGTCAGTGAACACCCCATTTAGTTATCATGTGTAACAGGGCTCCCATGAGCTGGCAGTCATTGCAATAAATACAGGCAAAGCCATTACAATATACCATGCATACAAACATTTATACAAATAAAGACACTATGCAACAAATTATTTCATATTAATATGGCATCAACAGTATAAACATACAAAAAGGAGTACGAACACGGAATGTTTAAACGCAGCCCACTATATCCTTCCTAGCACTTACATTCATACTATTTTACAAGACTTGCTTGTTCTTGAAAACCATCTTCTGTCTGTTTACTAACTAGTCACTTGTGTTAGAAGTCTAAAACTGAACTATCCCTGATGCTGACCCTGTATGCTCCAATCACTACTTACTCGGATTTCCTTAGCTAAGGAACAACTGAGCCACAATTGCTCCCGTGTCTTCCACATACATTTGTCAATAAGTCGCGCTACATGGAATCAAGTTTGGAAAACTCTGTCAGGTAAGTTAGTGCATGTAATTTTCTCACTTGATTTCTTCCGTTTGTTTTGATAGTAAAATAAATTAGTTAATAAATGAGACTTAGTAAGACAGCACTTTAAAAAATTGCACTTGAACATGGGAGCTAACAGCCATTGTCATTTTGCTATATTTGATTTGTATGAAATGTTCAATTGAATGTACTTTGCTAAAAAAGTGAATTCTTGTTTCGATTGTGCTGATGTATGTGCCCTTGATGCAGGAAGTATGCTAAAGGTATTCTCACAAAACACATACTACCCTGGCAAACAACTATTCGCTGTTCTTGTTTTCAAACACAGCTTCTACAATTTTACTCCTCATACACCATGAGGTGTTAAACAACAGATTTAAAACAGTCATGTTAACCTTTTACTGCTGCTGGGATAGCATTGTCCAAAAGTGCCATATTAGCCATTTAAAAAACCCAAATCACACAAAAGAAAACAGAGAACACAACCCCAAAACAGTAAGCCAGTAAGTTTCAGGCCTCAGGTTGTAAGGACAAAGCGCCAGAAAAGACCTCATTTTAGACTCGGAGCTGCTTTTCTGTTAAGTGAGGGCAGAAATGTTAGCTGTAAGTCATGATCTGTTTGCCTGCTCTGGTGGGCATTTGCCTTTCCGGAGGGTGGTTAGACTCAGAAGGGTAAGGTGTCCAGAAACAGCCTGTCGATAATGGAAGGAGCTGGCACCAAATCTTCCAGTTTCAGGTAAAAGATGCGCTGCAGTCCCAGTGTGCAGAGAGAACGCAAGTCAGCCAGAACACCCAGTACCTTCGGCTCTGCGGACTCGAGCGGTTGTCCTTTGTTTTGGCAACTGAAAGTTAAGTGATCTTTCAAACTGCTTGTGATCTTGTTGCATAGCTCTTCCACTTTCTTTGGTTCTTTTAATCCATGTCGTTCTGCAAAGCGAGAGGGAAAAACACATCAGCATCCCTACCAAAAATTGAGAGAACTCATTTTCTTTGGTGTAACCCAAATCTATACTCTGGTACTCAAAGCAAAAAGTGCTTTGAAAGTATAATATTTCTCAGAACAGTTGGGGTTACATGATGTCCTTTAATCTTTCTGCCACATGAAATAAGAGACTGCAAGTGCCATTTTCTCTGCAGCTGCTAAAATAGGTGGCAGAGATACTCAAACACAATTTAAATTCTAGCACAAGCAGTCCAAGCATCCTGTGTATCTTGCATTATTTTCATGATATGAGACAGAATTAATTGGGTGATTTTCCAGCAAAACTATCACAGGAGGTGTTTTGGAGATTTCCGTGCTTCCCCACCAGTTGTGAATGCTCAATAACTATGGCAACCATTATTTATTCAGTGAATTCAAGTGGCGATCGATATCCTTAGCCAGCTCCATCAGTGCCCAGCCTAGAATTCCACCAGGAATTTGCAGACACTCTTATAAGAAACTAAAGGCACCTTACCACCCTTTGTTATTTTGATCAGGCATTGCTTTTTAGTTTATTCATCTTTAAAAGGTCTAAGATAAAAGAAGCCTGGAAGTTAACTATTTTGTTTTGAGTGAGCAATGCTGAAAGTGAAAAGGCTGCAGTGCTACCCATCACAAAAATAAGTCAGAATTCCTTAAAGGAAAGGTAGCTGAGGTTTGTCCCCCTTAAAGTATCATTTTAAAATGCTACAATGATTCTTTAAGCATAAGTAGGATGAATCAGATTTGTGCTTCATTCAAAGCTGGCTCTTTACCGGTACATGTGGAAAGAATTTTGTGTTGTTTGCTATCCAGATTAAGTAGATAAATCAATATAACATTTCATATAACAATAATCTCAATTAATTTTGTGATGCTTTGATTTGACTTCGACTTTCAAATTCAGACTTAAGTAGGAACTGGCTTCATAGCAAAGTCATAATAATTTACATATGAAATAAAATTATACCAGTAAAGGCTGTCTAAGAAAATGCAGGTTTAATTAATTTTAATCAACTAGATGTATAAAAACAGTGACAACAGCAGGCGAGGAGTAATTGTGGCAGTTCTCGTGTTTGATGCATTTGAAGTTGCCTGCCCTCCATGGCCTTCTCTCCCATCTTGTGGCAGCCACAGGCCGTATTGTACCCACTCCCCCGAAGCGAGCAATAGGTACTTTCTCTGTCCATCCCCGAATGAACAATGAAAAGACTTCAGTTCCCTTTATTTCCAGAAGCAGGAGTAATGTCTGCAGAAGGCACAGTGGTGCCTTGCCCAAACGTGTGTATATAAACTCCTCACTGCCTTCCCTTACAACCTGCTTTGGTGACATGTTTGTGACAAACCAATAAAACATGAGGGGGTTCAATGAAGGCAGTCAGAAATGTGAAGGTCTGCTTTTCCACTGATATTCGCCCATTTTACACTTCTTTCAACTTTATTTACTTAGGCAAAGCTTGCTCCTGAAGCATACTGGTTTGGGGTCAGAATCAGAGATGTGCAGGCATGTACATCTCTGGCCAGAAGCTCTATCATTTAAGCACCATCAATCTGCCCTGTTGCTTCAGAGAAACACTCATCCAAGCAGTAACATCCGCTTCAGACATCTTTTTCACCTTGCAGGAATTAAAAACACTAGGTATTCTAAGTGCCTTGTTTACATTAAAACACAAGGAGTCAATGAATATTTAAAGCCTTTCCAGTAAATGGCGTGTAGTGTAATTATGTAAGCCTTAACTATGCAGGTCACTGAGAGTAAATACTTAGGCAGATTCTGCCATTAAAAATCTTGGCAAATAAATATTTTATACAGGTTTGAAAAGCTGTAGGATTTGTTTTTTTTTCTTTACCACTAGCCTACTGAGAGAATCTGCAGGACATTAAAAGACTTCCCGTCTTTTAATCTGTTTTGAGGTTGTTTCCTGGCTGTGTAAATGAAGATACCTTTATAGGTCTAGGGAGCTGAAATACTAGAATGGATCCAAAATCTGACTACAAATTAGCAGAGCACATTTTTAAACCAGTGCCTGTGTACTTTGCTGCAGAGAGAAAATTATCTCCGGCTCTGGAGCATACAGAAACACTGTTAACATTTCCAGCCAGAACTAAACAGTCTTTGTCTCACACTGACAAGTTCAGAAAGTTTCATGAACAAGCCGTATCTATAGTGGCTAGCCATGAAACATGCCAATGCGAAACACAATATGTGCAAAGACCATAATAGTAGTAGCCTTACTTTACATAACAAAATTCAGAATTAAGAGATACTCCATCCTTAAGCCACTCTCTGGTTCTACGATATTAAAGAAGTCTCTGAAAAACCAAACTGTTCTCTCATGCATGAATCACTGTGCAATGGCCTTTGCTACTTGCAAATCTCTACAAAGGTAATTCCTTATGACTGGAATGGCCTCAGGGGGTTCCAGTCTCCCATCCCTAAGGCATCCCTTGCGGACCCACCCGTAGAAAATCAAAGCCATCTACACAGATGCCCTTCAGCTACTAAAGGGCACTGCATGCCTTGGCACTGTCAATGCAGTCTCTGGTGTTAGCATCCAACAAGTTTCTGGGGAATGTACTTGTATAAGAAACAGTTCCTCTCTTAAGTAGACTTGGGGAGTCCTGGCTCTAATTTACTCAAAGATTTAAATTTAATGGGATTCAAATAGCAGGAAGCACATTTTCTTGCCTTTACCACATGGCCAGTTCCATTTGCACAAAGAAAGACCCACAGCCTACTTAACCTTACTCAGCTCAGGGGAGCAGCATGAGGTACCTGTGGTCAGTGTGCACTGGTGCTGGAGCTGATTGCCTCTAATTATTCACCTTCTTCCACAGGATGTTCATATCCACATGGGAATGATAAGGCCAAGATTTATGTCAAGGATGGCTGGTCAAAATGGATAGATTTTCTCTAACTGATTGAGGAGGTGTGTAAATATTATTGTATTTAGACTTTCTTACAATGATAATTAAAAAGGCATGGGTAAAGTGAACATAGAATTTCACAGCTTTGTGTTTTAGGATAACATTGATTTTTGCAAGAAAAATGGTGATTTGTGGCAAAGATGCTCTCCATAAGCCTGTCAAAATGATTCATCAGGAGTCTTGCCTCTAAAGCTCTGCAAACTTAGCAGCTCATCCTGCCAAACTGAATGCAGCAAGTTTTTTACACCTTTTTCCCTTTCCCAGGAACCTCAATGCAGTTCTGTGCTATAATTATGCTGATCAGCAAAAACTTGATAGGAAGAAAGCAAAAGAGCAGGAAAACCCAGTGCCAGCAGTGCTACTCCTTCTTTCCCTAATCTCTGACACAGGGCAGATTATGCAAGGCTAGGCAGACAGAGTGCTACCTTTATGAGAAACACCTCACAAAGAGCACAAGTACTTCAAAGACCCTGAGTACCTCAAAGATCCTCTGTGCTCTGTGTCAGAGTGGGTCAGTTTTAGCCTTAATTCATTCTAGGGTGTCAGCCAGATCAGAAATGCAACAGTTTTACACTGCAGACTTAAAATAGGCATCTTGATTGTCTCAGTTTCAATACAGGTATCTGATTTTCTCTTCCCTCTTCACAATCCTCTTCCTCTTCTATAACTCAAATAAACACAAGGATCAGTTGTCTTTCTGGTTGTCTCATGCACACTCTGTTACACAGCAAGATTGCAACTCATCAGATCCAGCAGTCTCTTTTCCTGCTGCAATCTGGCCCCTGTTCATCCTGCATCACTCTCAGGCACTTCACAAGGGTGCCATAGCTAGGAGCACAGACTTCTTGAGCTCCTTCTAACATCAGTGGAAGGATGGGCATTTTTAGAAGATGGTTACAATTTTAAGTGGATGAATCATCTTCTGGAAGTGCCCTGTATCAGCTGTGCAAGGTACTTAAAAGTCAGATGAGCTGAATGACCACACAGGACACCATTAGATTGCTCCCTCCTTTAAGAAAACCACAGTGTAACCCAGAGACTACTGGTTGCTGTAGAAGGAAAGAGTTCTTGCCTCAGCAAAAGGGTAGGAGTGGAGAAGGAGGAGTGAGTGCTTCGCTTTGGTGCTGACAGTATTTCCCTCAGCAAAGTGGCAGGGGGAAGGCAGACAATGCAATCTGGAGGGTGGTTTGGGTTTTTTTTTTATATCTGGCTCTCCTACACTCCTCCAGTCTGCCACCTGCTTGTATGTAGACCCAGCACACGAAGCACCCACTCTGGAGGATCCTGGAAACAGGACTGAAGGATATCTGCAGCTGAAGAGTAGGTGAGCCTCCCTTCCGCAGGGAAGTTGAACGAATTCATGTTCAGAAGGGAACTGCAGCAGCCAGGACCGTTTTACCCAGACAGGACTCATTACTTTTTCTTGGTATGACTGATGGTGCTAAAAATTGTGTTTGTAAACTGGAACAGAAAGCCCAACAGCAGGAAGACAAACACAAACTCATAATTAATTGAAACCTCACAATATTCTTCAATGTTCTGGTGCCAGTCTAACAAAGCATTAAGAGTGTGAATAAGCCCAATATATACAGTGGTTCTGGGCTGGGCTGTAACACATTTAAAATAAAACATATGCTGAAAGACTTTGGCTGAATGAGGGTTTGAATGCTCTGTGCTCAGCAGCATCCCACTGAGACTGTCAAGTGGGCAAAACAATAATATTTTGATGTGGATAGAGAAAGGAAGAGGCCGAGAGGAAAAGCAAATCAACAAGAGAGAGAAAGAAAACACTAGCAGTTTTAGAGAAGGCAGAAATGTGAGGCTAAATTAGAGTGTGCCCTTGAGATGATCTGCATTGGACTCTCGGTCTTCATATTTACACACTGTTAGAAAAACTGTAAACCAGATCATTATGAATGGTCATTTGGGAAGTTAAGGAAGCATTTGCAAGAATAGGCCGAGCTAATATCTAGCCTACTCTGCAAAGTATCATCATCAACACTATTCAATCCAGCATGGAGTGGTTGTGCGGGAACACTTGTGATCCATCCAGCACACCAAACTGACAGAAATCATCCATGTGGATCTAAGGACAGACCTTGTCCTAAGATGACCAGCATTTTCTTTACCTCATTATATTCTACATCCCAACAGAATAAGTAAACCAAAAGAAAAAGAACAGGATAGAACACATTTCTTGCTTTCACAGGGATGTGGGGTAAGTGTCATGTGTTTTTCCCTAACTACTTTCATTTGGCTGATGCTTAGAGTGCTGCTGATGTGCTCTGAAGGAAGTTGTGTCCAGCCCTTCTTAACCAGCTGAAGGAAGTAAGAAAAGAGAAGAGAGACAGAGAGAGGAAGATCCTAAAGGAGTACTTTAAAGAAAAAAGATGTATTGGGGCAATGCAGAGTTTTAACTGACTGCAAGTCACCCACAATAAACCAGACTTCATTTCTTTCATTCTGGGTGCTCTTTCAAGCTATGTCCTATCTGAAAGGATTTGAAAATTCAGCAGCAATCCAACATGATGCTTTTCCTTCTAGGCAACATACTGCAAATTCCCAGAAAGCATAAAATAAACATAAAATGCACAAATATATGAACTTTCTAGTGGATTATATGATGCAAAATATCACAAAATATCACAAAATTTTATGTTGTGCATACTTTAGTTTTACTCAAAGCAAGCAGTGAATTAGCAAGTATTATGATACTAGGTCTCCTGTCATCCTCTTCGAAATTACTAAACAGAGTGAATGGTCATATATGCCTGTAACCACACATCCTATGCTGTGACCTGCAGCTGTGGTTGAGATAGGACATGGAGCTTTGCTGCTCCAAACAAGTCAGCAGCTTAGTTAAAGGGCACTGGAACTACTCGGGCTGTGAATGGGGAGCTGTTTTGACATGCCTAAATGAGAGAACAGCCTTCAGCACCTTGGGACACTGGGAACAGTGGAATGTCTTTGGTCTCCAATGCCAATTTTTACATTCATTCCCTCTTCCTTCACTCAGAGAGAGATGTTAGTTCTCACTGACACCCTTGCAGGACAGAGAGAGAACATGCAAAAGAGCGTAGCAACTTCTCCTACTTTTCTCTTTCAGTAACACTGCTAATGACCAGTATACATGAGGGATTTTTTTCTAAGAGCACATCTTTGTTTGGGGTATGGACAGCACTCAAGAAATCGAGAAGAACAAGCAGGTCATTACTCCCAGAAGCATATTTCTTTCCCTGGAGGGACAGTTGGCGCTACCTAAGATGCTGTGCAGTATTGAAACAAGCAATGACTATTATAGAACACAGGGTCGTTGTCTTTTTTCTTTTGTGGTTGAACCATCAAGTCATGAAAAGTTGACTAATACAAAATAGAACTGGAGCGATTCGTGCAGTAAGAAGGAAAATCTTGCTCAAGCCAGCATTTTGGTTTTGCAGTGTTGCTAATAAAACTGAACAACTAGACATAAACAGAACTTTCCTGCTCCTTCCTATCTTGCAGCCCAATGACATAGCTATCCATCTGGGACATAGGAGGTTCATGGTCAGATTTCCTTTCTGTTGGAATCAGACCAGCAACTGGGCCTTAGGTGTCCCTCTGAGCACCAGCTTGTCCCCAGATCATCATACACAACAGCTATTCTGCAGCCCATGAAATATGTCGAATGGCCTCAGCACAAAAGACAGTGACTCAATAGTCAGATACCCTATGTTCCTGGTAAAGGTCTCTCTCTCATGCTCTGGCTCACAAAAAAGGCTTGAATCAGGGTTTGCTAACTACCCATTGCCTTCAACAGTCCACTACAGGAGGGAAAAGTACCTTCACCAGAGATAAAGAATGGCACTTAACCCACCCACCTAACCAGGCCTCAGAACAATGCTTAAAATGATCAACAGATTTAAGTTTCCAAAATTCATGTTTATTATTTTTTACTCTTTTACTGGGACTTGCTGAAAACCAGCAGATGGCTTGTTATACTCAAACTGTAGGGAGAAGACAAGCCACTTCTCATGGGATGCCACAACAGAGGCAAATCTCAAGGCTTTCCTGAATATACTTCAATATACTGTCACTGAGGAGGTAGCCAAAGAACTCTGTCCAGCAGCATTTTGTGCCATAATTAACCGATTTTGTCTTTCAGGTTGTTGAGGGTTTTTTTATACTGTTCATCATTATAAAATAGCATCCATTTTCAGGTGAGCAAATTTCTGGCTAAGCCCCTAAGCTAGCTAGCTGCTCTTGGAGATCTGAAACCTGTGAATATAAATCACTAGGCACAGGAGCTTCAGTCTAATTTAGATGGCCTGAAAGTACACTCTGTCCTTAAGAGCGCAAATCAGCAGAGATATACCGGCCTCATGAAATAAAAGAATAGGCAGAAAATTACATTAATTTCAAGCACTATCTCATACAGGTGAAAAAATCAAGAAAAGCTTGACAAAATCAGAAAACCTTCAAGCTTTTATGGACAGAAATGGGCTCCTTTTAAAGGCAACAGTTACTTCCATTTGATTAGAAACTTGGGAAGACCAGCACAATATAGCCAACTCCTGAAAGGGTTATTATCAAGGAAAGCAAGAAATGTGGGGTGTTACTAGTTAAAAGCTATTTCTATCAAATATCTTAGGGTAACCTGAGCCAGGCACAGGACAGCTTTGACTCTTCATGTAAGGGCAAGAAACCAGTGTCTAACTGAACAAAGGATTATCATGTTAAAACAGGGCGGGGGGTTGTAAGGAGAATAACGTTTCTTCATATACAATAGCTTGTTCTGCATTCACTTAGACAGCTCACTGTGGATCCTGCTCACTGACCCCCATCTTCTCAGTCTCCAGGAAGATAATCAAGAACAAGCTATCTGTGTCTATCTAAACCAGACATTTCTAATATATAATAAACAATCTAACTCAGGGATATGTGCTACATATATGTGAGCATATATGCCTGTTTGTAAATATACATGGAGAGACACAGCAACTGTTCTTGATTTATGGATATCTAAATGCATACACATACATATTATATATGCATATAGGTTTGCATATACATACACATATATATCTGTATTTATATTGCATATATGTAAGTATGCATGAACACATGTCAGTGGATGTTTATATATAGGAGTAAAAAATAAGCTGGCAATGCTCTTTCTCACTTTAACGTATCACTCATTTTGAAAATTATTCATACTGAACAAAGCAACTGCAATGAGTTATTCTGGACTTAGGCATTGTATCAAAGAAACAAGAATCTGGACCTTTAAGTACCATTTTCAACTGTAGGAGAAATGAACATAAACTATTTAAGAAAATACTTTTCTTAAAAAACAGAGTCACACGTTTACCCTAACCCTTCACCAAAAGGCAGAAAGGAAGTGTGTCACCAAGCTCTGAACCCAAAAC